GAGAGAGAGAGAGAGAGAGAGAGAGAGAGAGAGAGAGAATGGTATTGAATTAATGCTTGCGCGAACAGCTGTGAAGTCATACTTTTGAATATAAATGTGTAGATAAGAAATTTGTTCGTTCAAGTTTATTTTTTTTTTCCTGTATACGTGTATCAGTCTGCGTGTGGAACTCCCGGATTCTCTCAGTCTTACGGTCGCTCACTCATTGACAGCTTATTTCTGCGTCAGAGCTCCCTCCTCCAAACATAAAACATACTGCGAACCGTTGACCTCATTTAAATTGGTCCATCCAATACGAGCCAACTAGGATGGTGATAGCTAGGGAACAGAAGCCGGCACATAACATCAAATCGTGAACCACATTACATTACAGCACTTTAGACTCTTGGAGCTCAGGAAGAAGTTTCTAAATATAACTCTGGTGTGTAATTAATCTTTGAGGGCGAGGCGCGCCACCTTGTAGGAGCCGAGACCCCATGCAGCGAGTCAACAGTTGAGCAAAGTTCACTCGCTCACTCGGTAAACATTTAGGCCACCCACCACCTCTCACGCGCGGTATCCCTCACTTTAGGCGACTATTTTTGGACACTTGATCCGTGGAGAACTTCCGAGACATGTGATCAATAGCACTTGGCTTTTGGACCTGGAGAATGTCCACAGTTATGGTAACCATGGGTGCTTTGATGTATCCTACTGTTACACACTAAACAACGACAAAACAAAACCAGGTTTCAAATACAAATGTATTGATCTGGTGCCAATATTACAAATTATCGGTGAGCTAGAATTCTCCTGTTTGTAAACTTGGTTCTAAGTAAGTTGAACCTTCTCTAACAGCCACCTGTCCAAGACAATTACCTGTACAAACGACCACTTCCCACAACGTCCTTGCTTTTTAAAAATATAACGATCACCTGTCTAAAACAACCACTGTGTGTTGACATAAAGAGCGCGATCAGCTCAAGCATCATTATACGGGGTGCCCACTACGGCTGGATCGGGCTGATCACCTGACTCGATCGCCGGAAACTGAAAACAAACACGTTTGTTTTTGAGGCGATCGAGGCGGGCGATCGGCCCGATCGCCGATCCCAGCGTAGTGGGCACCCCGTATTACAAGAGCCCCCTGAGAAGGAAGTCTATAGTCTCGACCCCGGAGTCCCTTCAACAACGTACTGACAAAATGCTACTTCGGAATTACAAAGTTTCAACTGACATTTTGGGCCATTTTGAGCTACTTAGACCATGGGGTCAGAAACCATAATATTATTATTATGATCTATCTCCTCTATCAAAATCGTAAGATTATTCGGAATCGTATTTAGGATATTCAAAGAATTGCATTATTGGAAAAAGTTTGGCATGTCGTAAAACTCATTTTTTTTAAAGTCAAATTTCTCAAAACTAGATACTGAGCAGAAAGAACTTTGTAATTCTAATAGCGTAGTTCTGACAACCCGACATCGGCGTGGACAGTTTTCCCTCTTATAATCCTCGTCATTTCCCTCCTGTGGCCACTGTACAGCTTGACTTATCCTGTCACTGTCACATTAGGGCCTGGGGACACGGTCAAGCTGTACGCACACCAAACAATCTGCACGGGGCGGGCTGCAAAATGATCTCTATGGTTGCTGTGAGAGCGTGCACACTGGACAACGCGCTCTTGTGACCTTACGTAGTAGCGAGCGCCTCAAAACACTTGCCA